TCGAAAAAAGAATGCCCACACATCAAACTCCGTCAAGCATTTAAACAGCGGAGGAACAAAAGAGACGACAAATTATCTGGGCCTCACCTGTTTACATATCATTACGCATTACCGTGACTATTGCCAATTCGCCTCTTCGGTCACTCTGCAATTCATCACTCCTATGGTAAAATCCCATAAGCAGACATCAGTCTGTGCGTGAAACTTGGTGAACATTTCCTTACACTTTCACTCCTATGAAAAACCCACATGATTATGTCAATCTTTGCGTGAAGAAACGGCGGCTTGCTGGAGGAATGAAGATTTCATGCATAGATTGTCAGATGCTTATGGGATTTTACCAGGAGTAAAGAGTTGCAAAGTCGCCGTCAACGTCAATGCTTACTTTCATAAGGGCCAATGCTGCAAACGTAAACAATTACTTTTTGCGTGAATTTCTCGAAAATGAAAACTCACTCAAGAAAACCAACACCATGATTGTGTACAGCAAGAGTTCTCCTATCCGGTAAAATTAGTGGCTTGTTTTTTTTTTTAGTTTTTTGTTTTCGACATTGGTCCTTAAGAATGCTCAGCTTCGATATCACGAAAATTTTATTTTGACGGATCGATGTCCAACTATGCCATTTATACCACTGAGGCAAAACAAAAAAAGGGTCCGCTTTGATATGTTATGTGATACCCATGTTGCTATTCGAATTGCAAAAACTATGAATTGGGCCAGGACTTCTCAAATAGCTAGAATCTTATCTAACATCAACATTATCAACAAATATCGAAGAAATCATAAGAGATTTCTGATGAGAGTTTTGCGTTCAAAGAAAGAAAAGAAGAATTTCAAAAGAATTTATTTCTCATAATAGTTGCAAAGGAATTATAAGAATGATTCCAAGGAAATGGTTAAGGAGAGTTTATAGGGAATTCAAAAGAGAGTTCCATGGTAATTACGAAGAGAGTTTCAAGGGAATCCATAGGCCAACATTAGAGCCATTTCCCCTACTTCAATTATATTCCTTAATTATGAACACGCAAAAGAAATACAATGTAAAAATACACTGTTTAGTCTTGTTTTTTGGATATAATATTGTTTAGAAGTAGAACATAACATACAATTATAATTGAACGGTCTACTCTGGGTTGCCATCAAATAAATAAATTAATTAATTAATTCAAAAAGTTTCTATTAAACGATTTTCAACCATTAATTTTTAATTGGTAAATATTAAGTCAATTGGAAATATAACAGGAGGTAACGTTGAAATCTACATGACTTAGAAATCATAACGAATACTTAATCTAAATTTTCGTAAGCTCTATAATAATAATGTGAAGAAAAAAAAATCATAATAATAAACTTATACATCCATATGGAAAAAAATATACCCTACAATTTAAGTGAACGTTTAAAGGGGAAAAGGGGTCCCAGAAAATATAAGCACACTTTTAAATCGCCGCCATTTCTACCCCAATGAAGTTTGTTAGCTGTTCATCGATGTGTGTTGTTGCTTACTTATTATTCAACAAGTTTGTGTGTGATAAGTGCATTTGTTTACAAAATCATCCAAATGCGAGGAATTTCGCTGGAAAAGCGCAAACAGATCGTGCACAAATGGCACACTATTCCCAACCTATCAATAAGGAAGTTTGCGAAAATGGAGGATGTAAGTATCGGAGCAGTCCAAACCGCCATCCGGAAGTTCGGAAGTTATCCTCGAGTACACATTGAAATCTGGCCGTAAACCGGGACCGGTGGACCGAAAAGTGAACCAAAAGATCACGAAGCTTTCGTCAATAAGAAAACTGCTTCTGTTCGAGATTTGGCAAAACATTGAGAACATTGAAGAGTAACGTCCAACTTGCCAAGGCAAGAAATGGACTGAAAATGTTCAAGATGCAGAAGAAGCCAAAACGGAGTCAGAAACAAGCTGCATCGAGGGCTCGGAAGCTATATGATAGCCTGATGGTGGAAAATTGGAGTGTGTTATTATGGACGTTGAAATATACGTCAAATTAGACTACAAGGTGCTTCCGGGAGACCAATAGAACTCAGTCCTGATGGTCAGGAAGTTGAAGATGCCAATAAGTCATTTTTACGGAAAAAAAATGGTAAGAAGGCCATGGTTTGGCAAGCGATATGTGAATGTGACAAGTTGTCATAGCCATTTGTGACTAAGTATACGTTCGGGGGTGTTTGAATCGGCGTCTGCGGCCCATGATCCGTCAACATGATGGCCCAGTACTATTTTGGTCCAATTTGGTGTCAATGCACTACTCGAAAGACACGGTAGCTTGCTACAAAGCAAACAGTGCACAATACGTGCCAGAATTATCCGGAGGCCTGGTCAATCGAAAGTTTAGGATATCTACGGAAACACTTTAAGGCAGCGATTTCAATCCAAAAATTTGAAAAATACTGGACAAAAGTGCCCAAAATTATCGCCAAGGAATCTGTGCTGCAGCTCATGGGCAGCGTCAGATCAACAGTTTGCTCCTTGGCATACGATTAAAGGAACTGCGGATTATTTTCATCCAATTGAAAGAGAATACTGCAGAGAACATATATAGGAAATAAAAATTTTAGTTCATTAACACAACGTTGTTTTATTCCAATAATAAACTGTGCTTATACTCTCTGGGACACCCTATATTAGGTATAGATATTTGACGGTTATCCCATTGAATTTCCGGATTTTTTTTCCAGTTTTCCCAGATACTTTTCAAATTGCCGGTTATTTCCCGGTTTTCAGTTCGCTGGCCACCCTGGTTGATTCTGTATAACAATTAGATTGAACTGTAAGAGAATCTCTGATGGGTAATATCATGAAACAATCCTCTTAGAGCAATACAATACAGCAAAAATAATTTTTATATCACATCAAGTGGATGCACTTCAATCGTGTCGAAAATATGGTGTAATATTACTTGCCAAAAACGGACAAAATTATCACTAATACAGTGCATGAACTGACATTACGCTGTTTTTACTGCATTTCCAGAACAACATGTGAAAAGGGCATACAAGCTTTTTGTAAACAAACCTTCTTATGCCTTTTTCTCGCCACCCATATGACACCAACGCAAACCTTTAACATCACCGAGTAGGGGACACTTTCCCCTTCCCGATGATATTGCTGGTTTGCGTGGGTGACCCTCGGTTGGTGAGAAAAGGGCCTACAAAGGTTTGTTTACAAAAAGCTTGTATGCCCTTTTCACATGTTGTTCTGGATTTGTTTATTGTTGTTGCCATAAAAATTACATAAGATTTTCAACATGATTGAAGTCATCTTGGATAAAATATTTTTTTTTTTTTGCTGTGAGGATGAGACTTTCTATTCAAAGCTAATGTTTGACAGCTATCTCGACACCGTATTCAATATTTAAATATAATATCAATCATTCTCTAAATTTGATGAGCATGATTTTTTACATTTTCTTATTCATAAATAGTAGGTACATATCGAATAGTAAGTAAATCCAATCTTAATTGTCTAATTTTCGTTGCCAAAACGTCATGGCTTCGACAACCTGCAATTAGCATTACGCTTATCTCGTGCTATAGTAATTACCATCTCCCCCTCCCACAGGTAGCGTATTTTGATATGCATAATTCACATAACCGGTCACATATTCTGAATACACCAACCCCCCTCCACCCCTCTCATGGGTGGTCCCTTATCAAAAAGTGATTTATAACCACAGAGCAAAGCCGTTGTTATCAGTTCAATGTGAACGATATGACAACAGCCAAGAATTCTCAGGTATGACTGGCTAAATTGCATACTGTTGTATGTACAAACATTGGTGATTGATTGCTCCGGCTCATTTGTGCTTGACTCATCCCAAACCAATTTGTTTTATTTTTATGTATTACCAAATCGGAATGGAACATTTTTTTTTTGGTCAACTGTTCTCGGCCCACCTTTCATCAAAAGCCACGTTGTCATGTAACTAGGCAATCTTCCTTGCTTATTGAGTGTATTATTACATTCCGCACTTGTAGTCATTGTTGAAACCAACGGCGGCAATTACAAACAGTTTTCAACAGAGCCCACTTCAGTTCCTCAGCTGCGCTTATTTGCCCTAAGCAATTATTTTTCTATCACACCCGTGAGCCACTGATAAGTACTCTCCACACAATCACTCTTCACAGATTTCAATTGTATATCAACAGCGATACACGAGTTCCTTCTCATGGATTTGGCGATTCTGTTTACATCGTCACCCGTCGCCCGATAACGGTTCCCGTTTGTCTGTGATGGTTTCTATTAATGAAGAAAGATAAATTTAGCTATCAACATCGTGCAAACAGTCCGTGGTATCAATTATTCACAAGTTATTTTGAAGGACAGCTCACAGTACAATCACCTTATAGGAATGTGTGATAATTGACATACTGACATTCTTCGTCTACGAGAGAAGAGATAATGAGCTTCGAAGAGTGTAAACAAACACCCGCTTGTGGCTAACTAAATAGAACCACTTCTATGTCATCAGAAAAGAGCAAACTACATTTCAACTCCCACACATTAAGAATATTTAACGAGCTTCCTACAGAGATCCCCTTGTCAGCTAGTCAGTTGTAAATTTCAATTTATTCATTAAAATTTACACAAATAAACACACCTTCACCTCAACCGAAAGTCATGCTACTAACCTTTGGGCTCGATATCGCGATGGCTATTTATCATAGGTGTTCATCGTGGCATGCTTCAAAATCAATCATCAATTCATCGGAGTCCCATGTCAAATGCACCCCTTGATCGTGTCTCACTCACCAACTTCCTCTGCATTACCATTTCAATCTAGCAGCAAGATGTGTCGGATATTGCATTTTAATTAACCAACCAACGTATCGAAATTCCAGAAACAACTGTAGCTAATAAATATCCAATACTAAACGCCAAGCACATCCAACTGTCGCACGCTTCGACTGCCTTTATAGCTCCTCCAAACCTCACCGACGACGAATAACAATAGTTCCTCTTTTCTCCTTTTACGCCCAGATGTCCGACTTGGCCGACACGGACAGCAGCAACACAGACCATGGGACGCCCACGCTCCCGCCGCATCGCCTCGGTAAGAATCTGTTCAATACCAATGCATCATCATCGTCATCGCTAGCAGCGACGGGATCGACGACGGGTTCAATGATGTCCAATGCCAGCATCAACTCATCGCAGGAGGTAAGACGCATCCCGAACACGTTGATCCTAATCCCAATTTGGAACACCTAATGATCATCAATTTGTTTGATTTGGCTGCGCCATGGGATTTGGACAAATTAGGGATTATTATGCACCGTGTATTTTTTTTTCAGCAGGAACACCCTCGCAGAATACTGAGCTGAGATGAGCTCAAAACCAAATCTCATTTGATGAGTGATTTAAACAGCTATCCCGATGACGATATCGATGTTTTATCGTTTTGGGACCACAGATTATTTTGCACAGTTTAAAAAAAATCAAAGTCATGTTTTGCTCGAACAAGCATCATATTGACGATTTTGAATCCGGGAGGCACATTGGTACATTCTAAACTTTCCGAGTACATCTAGGTACGAGAAAGGCAAAAATCATCTAATCCGTTCATGTTCTATTGAAAAAATATCACCGCTCAATGGATGTAACGTACAAACTCTCGTACCGCCAATCCAAGGTGATAAATATTGTTATATTTATACGCAAAGAAATGGCGACTATACACTAGGACAAGAAGCTGAATTGAAGAGGATCGTATTACTCATTCAGGTTCGTCACTGCCTACCGCACCGCGAGGTGACTAACAACAACAATGTCAAGGTGGGGGCGTCTTAAAACTGCTCTATCTGTGAGTGGCAGGAACTAAACGGATTACTACATAACTAAGTGGTCAGTCAACTGATTATCTAACGACGGTTACAGACATGTGCAAGCTTAGAAGCTGACGTCGGGCCGTCGCTACCGCTCAGCTGTATGATGGCGCTGATCGTTTCTCAGACTCAAGACTACGCGAGGGACGAGGGTATTTCCCAAAAATATTTATATTTTGGCTTAATTTTGCATCCGTTTCCCATGTTTCGCGGGAAGGTGTCTCGTATGCGATTTTCTCGGAAAACTGTGACACACGTTCATCGTCTTCGTTGTCGCGGTGTACCATTTTCTCGAAAAATGAAAAACGAAACTCATCGACCCGGTGCCAAATATTCACGGTATCCAATTAAATTTTGAAATGCTCTTGACAAGATTTTTATTGTTGGCAGTGTCCTAGAAAAGTTTAGCGGCTCGCGGTTTCGAAAAATTGTATGACAATTTAAATCGATCCTGGGCGTTTTAGCCAGAAATAAGGGAATTTTTAAAAAATAAAACAATTAAGTAAAATTTATTTCCTCTCATTAATAACAGTAATAACAGTTCACACATTAGAAATTGGTACAGTAAAGAGCAAATGTATTTGAATTTATTTGAAATAAATCATCAGTAGATACAACGCGAATAGCAAAAATTTTGTGTCCACATCTCATTTTTAGAAGAAAGAAAGAGAGCCGCTAAATATTTGCCAACTAAAGATGCGACGCTCACGACAACTACGATACCAGAAACGTGTGATGATGGTGACATACACGGTGACATGTGGAAGAAGATTGCGACCGATTCCTGTGAGCTAAGCCGAAATCTTCAGTACTTGTACAACGATCGAACGACCAACAACTCGCGAAACTCTCAACGCTCCACGCGTTCAGGGAATATTTCTACTTAAATTGCTCATTCTCAGTATCGATGAACATTAATTCGAAGAAAATCTGCATTAGGATATCTCATATGAAACGATTGCCATTTCAAGAACAATTTAAGGGTAGTGCTTTGTGAAAGTGCTACGAAGTGAAATACCGACTTGTGAATAAACTATCTTTCGCGATAAATTTCCGAGAAATCGACGATAAAGTATAACGAAAAAGGTAAATACAGGACGAGCGGTCTGTTTTTAAACGTGCAGCGCGCTGTAGGTTTGTTCGTTTGAAGAGCTTATAAAGTTTAAAAATAATAACTGCATGTGTGCGGTAAGTCGACGATATTGGTAGCGTGTAGCGTGAGAAATGCGATCCCGCCCACAAACAAACGGTCCATTACTAATAAGCTGTCACCTAGTCGTGTGCGTTGAGCTGAAGGGAATGAAATGCGATGGAGCACGATTTGATTATTTTTGGATAAAAAATACAAACAACTTGTTAAAACGTTTTGCGCCTAGAACTGCTCGTCCAGTAGCCACTGATTGGTAGTAATTGAGATGTCGCCAAGTGCGACAAACTGGTTTTCTAAAAATATTCCCGCACATCTTATTCAACAGACTAAATGATGATTAATTTTGCTAATACACGGCAGTGGCTGAGCTGAACGTCGCGCTGTCGGCACAGTAGGCCAAGCTGAGCAAAACTAATAAAGGGTAAAACGGCTACCATGTGCTACCTGAAACGATCAAACGACAATGTATTTGTTGTATTTCGTCAAAAGACAGGTTTAGATACTCCAAGTACCACTTTATTTGCGTCATTTGATTGAGCATTCGCGAAACCACACAAGCTGTTTGAATGGTCAAAATTAAGGTGTCAGAGCGTTTTAATGTTTTCGAGAGATTTGCTCAGCTATGCAAGGTTTACTTTGCAGATAAATAAATTAAGATTAGTTTTTTTTTGTTTTATTTTCCTTGATTTGTTTTCCGTCGATCTTGTTTTCCGTACTGAGTACCAATGCTACCGACGTCAGGGAGGCAGCTCCCACACCTAGATCGTACCTATCGAACCAACGGCCCGGGAATCAACGGCTTTACTTCCCTTCCATAGGAAGGCGTGATTAGATATTTTATGCCTCAGAAAATCCCGACGGCGCCGACTGGGATTGAACCCACGCCCTTTAAAGAGAGAGGCAGTCTCGCTTACCACCAAACCACTGGCACCGCTCAATTGTGTATTTTGACGTAGAACTACGTTTTTGTCGACTATACTGGGGTGCAAATCAAAAAAATATGGGTGGTGGAGGAGTGTTAGGTTTTGAACGCTTGTAACTTTGTCATTTATATATGAAATTAAAATCCAAATATAGGTACCAATCGATAGGATATTACATTACGAACCTGCTGAAATAAATATTCTGCCTCTGCTCATTACCGCTTCGGCGTGGCACTAGGTCCTGCAGCAAGCAGGACCAAGTCAGCGGCTAAAGGTGGGTCATGGCGTGACCACCACAATGAGGAATGAGACTTGAAAAAACGTGCATGTAAAACCCCCTCCCCCTTAACAACCTCTCCCCCTCTCCCCTTAACATAACCAGAAAAAGACATGGGACTTTGACGATCATTTTTTTCCGGGAAATAAATATTAAGCAAACCACAATTATATATAAACAATTAATTTTTTACATGCAGAGCCAACATTTTCAAAAAAAAAAATTGCTTAACAGGAGACATACACTCGATGAATTACCAACAACTGACTCTAAAACATATCTGGTACCTCTATATATGCAATTATATTAACATCCAAAGTCCATCCTTTTTTACATATTCTGCACAAAAGAAACTTTTTGCTCCGCCCCGTTCATAAAAAACGGCGGGAAATCCTATCAGGTTTGGTTGCACACCATTCTGCTTGAACCTGAAAAGATATAAAACAGCGCTGCTGTCGTGCTTTTGCTCATTGTCGCTTCGGACGGCGTGGCACTAGGTTCTGCAGGACCAAGTCAGCGGCTAAAGGTGGGTCACGGCGTGACCACAATGAGGAATGCGATACAATGAGGAAAAGCAATGTATGTAAACCCCCTCCCCCCCCCCCCTCAACAACCTCTCTCCCCCCCAATAATAACCCGAAAAAGACATGGACTTTGACGATCACTTTTTTCCGGGAAATAGATTTTAAACAATTATCAGTAAAAACAGAAGTTTTTCCCTTAATTCTTCCCGCACCAAAACTTTCAAATTTGAGAAAAAAAATTGCTTGAAAGATATCGAATATGATGATATTATGAACTGACTGTAAAACATATCTGGTACCTCTATTTATGAAATTATATTAACATCCAAAGTCCATCCTTTTTCCATATTCTGCACAAAAGAAACGTTCTGCCCCGCCCCCATTCATAATAAAATGGCGGGAAATCCTGTCAGTTGCGGGGCTTAGAAGATATGTTTTGTGCAGAATATGTAAAAAAGGAGGGACTTCTGATGTATTTTTTCTGCAAAATATGTAAAAAGGAGGGACGTCGGATGTTAACCTAAACGCATATATCATGCATCATAGATAGAGATATATAGATAGGTTCTACGTCATACTGCGGTCGTGTCTAGGACACAACCCTTTAATTTTTTTTTAAAGTTGTATTTTTTCAGACCTGAGTTACAGAGTTGCTCAAATCCAGATCCGCTGAATTTTTTTGTTCAATTTACAAAGGAGGTTTTAAATCACAGAGCAACTTTACCGAGCCTTTGGGAATTTTCCTTATTAATGAGTTGTACAGATTTTCTCCTTTATTTTACTTAAATCTTTGGTTATTAGTTAGGTAGGTTCCTATTCTGCACGTTTTAGTTTCATTTTTATACCTGTGATCTTTACATTTTTTCCTATGGGAGGAGTATTTAAGGGATTTAGATTTTGAATAAGTGGGAACGTAGTCGTGTAGTCGAAATACATATCGGACATGAATACAAAAATTAATTCGGTGGAATTAAATGTGATATCCTTTTTTTGCTGCTTTAAAAAAAAGTTAAAACCTATTAATCAGAATCGAGGTGCTCGATTTTTGAACATATTGAAAAAATTAAAAATTCAACACATAAAAACTGACAAAAATCTTGGGACAAGAACTTTTGGTCAATTTTTTGAATTTTTATTAGTACGCATTTTTCATGTTTATTTTTACAGAAAATGATTAAGAATGTATCAAATATTGTTTTCTGAGTAAAAATTACCTAAAAAACGATTGAACAAAAAGTTCAAAATTTTTATCAAAACTTCTTGTTCTACGATTATTGTCATTTATAAGTGTCCATAGTTCTAAAGACTTCAAACATTTGCAATGTTCATGAGATTTAAAAAAATCGTTCAAGGATATTTTACGATATTTAGGCTTTTAACGTTTGTTTGAATTTTTACTTGAAATTAGTAAAATTATTCAAGTGGCATTTCCATGCTAAAATTAAAAAAATAAGGGCTTCATTTTGAAAATTTTATGTGTATCAATGCCCATAACAAACAACAATTAAAGGGTGTCTACGATGAAATTGCCACACACAAAATTGATTCGCAAAATTCGAGTTTTCATCCGATTGCCATCAAATTTTCAGGGATTGAGAAATAACTATTAAACTTCATTTTACCATTTTACTCGTATTTTATTTACAGTCCATACGCAAATGCCCGCACCTTGGCCTTAACCCCGGCCATAAGATTCTGCACAACCTGTGAATCAACCGTTTTTTGCATGTAAACCCATACTTTCTTCAGTTCCTCGACTGTCTTCACTACCTTAGGTCGTTTAAGAAGGTGCTGCTTCATAATCGCCCAGTATTTCTCGATGGGGCGGAGCTCCGGAGTGTTGGGAGGGTTGAACATTTTTGGCACGAAATTGACCTTATTGTCCGCATACCACTTCAGCACGTCCTTGGAGTAGTGGCACGAGGCCAAATCCGGCCAGAAGATTGTTGGGACGTTGTGGACCTTCAGGAGAGGAAGCAGCCGCTTCTGGAGGCACTCTTTTATGTACACCTGTCCGTTCATCGTGTCCTGGGTCACGAAAGGTGCACTCCGCTTCCCGCACGTGCAGATGGCTTGCCAAACCAGAAATTTGGACATCTTCTGAGTGCGGACATGCTCCGGAACGCTGAACTTATCCTTGGCCGTGAAAAACAGGTTGCCGGGGATCTGTTTGAAGTCGGCCTTCACATATGTTTCGTCGTCCATGATGCAGCATTCAACTTTCGTCAGCATGTTGAGGCACAACTTCCTGGCACGGGTTTTGGCGGACTTGTTCTGCTTCTCGTCGCGATTAGGGGCCTTTTGTACCTTGAACGTTCGAAGCCCAGCCTTAGTTTTGGCCTTCTGGACAAAACTTCGGCTTAGGTGCAGCTTCTTAGCCACATCCCTAACGGAGGCGTTCGGATTTCGGTTGAAGGCCCCAACTACGCGGTTGTGATTTTTGGTGTTGTACGGAATACTTTTTCCTTCACTTCTGGGCTTCCGATCGGTGGTCAACCGTTCCTCGAACCGCTTAATCACTCGCGACACCGTGGAATTCGCGATTCCCAACGTTTTAGCGATGGAAAGATGCGAGAGATCCTTGTTCTCGTGATGAATGCGCAAGATTTTATCACGCACGAGCTGTTCTTTCGACTCCATTTCCGCGAGTTTTGATCACAGGAAAAAAAACTTGCAGGATGTAAATAATGCACTATGAACTAAATCCACCCAAATTTTCATTAAATTCTACCCAACGGTTAAAAAGTTAGAGCAATTTCATAGTGTGGCAATTTCATCGTGGACACCCTTTATGCAAAGTTTCATGCAAATCGAAGAAGGTCAAGTGCATCATTTGGCGTTTTAGCGTTGGGTCTCGACATGGGTTCAAGGAACATATCTAGATAGAGCTGAAATTAGGCAGCAGGATTTCTCGAAAATCATGGCTCTCCCTGGCAAATCACATCACCATCAAGTAGGAGAAGCCCTACTCGATTATATGTTGGTTTGTATAGGCGTCCCTTGAATTCTTAGAAATCAATGAAAAGTCATTGTTTACAAAGGCTGTTACGCCCTAATTCCAGCTCTATCTAGATATTTTATAACGGGATTAAAGACAAATGTTTCAGATCCAAGATCGAGAAGAAGAAGAGGAATATCTTCTTTAGCTTATTGCGTGACCTCAACTTAGTGTTCTAGATGCACTTCCACGGTTATGAATTGAGAGCTTTCGATGCCTGGTACCATTTTTGCATTAGTATAATTGTGTGCCCAGGAAAGTCGAGAAATTTTCCAAACCGAAAAAATCCTAGACCGGACCGGGAATCGAACCCAGCCACTTCCAGCATGGTCTTGCTTTGTAGCTGCGCCTTTACCAACTGAGCTAAGGGAGGATCCAAGAGGAATGTATACCTGTAGAATGAAGACCGGAAACAGTCAGAAAAGTAACTTCTATTAATGAGACAATTCCCATATCAAGCACCTCTCCTCTTAACATGAATACACTTGATGAAAACATTACGGTGATTAAGCAAGCCGTTTTTCATAGTAGAAGATGCTAATTTCAAATAACAGACTAAAGTGCTTTGACTATATGTTTTAGTATTACTTCTACGTGAAGTCAACGATTTACATAGTTGAAGATGCTAATTTCAAATAACAGACTGTAGGGGTAATTTTTATACGATAGATGGAGTAGATGAAAGCATAGAGTTGATAGTTCCGTTAGAGTACGGCAGTGTGAAGATTGCATATAGATATTAGAATAGCGAGCTAGGACAACTTTTTAAGGAAGGTACAAATCGGTTTTTTTTCATCTCTCTTTACCAAACTCCCCCTTTGGAGAGGGATGGTGAGGGGTGTCTCTCCCCCGCCACCACTGGCAAAAAGAGATGAAAACCGACCGCTCAAGTACCAACTGCGTGTTTGAAACAGTTCTACCGATTTTTTACCGCACTACGGTTGTTATTTGAAGGAAGGCATCCAGTCGTAGGTCTGGATGCCTTCCTTCAAATAACAACCGTAGTGCGGTTGTAGGTCGTACTCCATCTATCGTATAAAAATTACCACTACAGTCTGTTATTTGAAATTAGCATCTTCAACTAAGACTAAAGTGGTCATTTTTATACGATAGATGAGGAGATGAAAGCATAGAGTTGGTAGATCCGTTAGAGTACGGCAGTGTGAAAATTGTATTTAGAGAGTAAAAGGCGAGCAAGCACAACTTTGAGAAAGGTACGAATCGGGTTGATCATCTCTCTTTACCAAACTCCCCAGTTAGCCACGGTTAACTTCACGCAGAAGTAATACAAACAACATAGTTAAAGTCGGTTTTCTGATTGATTGATTGATTGAAACGAAAATTCCTATCTTAGCTATCTCCTCTCCTGAATGATGTGAACTCTTGATTGCATTATGAAACAATTGCCTCCAATTGAACATCAACTAATGCCCACCCGAATGTTCTCCACCTGTACCTTACAGCTCCTGAACACCGCCTCCAGCAGCAAAAGCTCCAAAGTGTCGTCTTCAACGAACAGCAACACTATCACAACTTCAAAGATGGCCAAAACTTTATCGACACAACGGCTGACCACATCCTTATCGTCTTCATCTTCCAAATCAACGTCCACTTCGGCAGCTGCCGTCAAGCATGACCTCGGTGAAATAAAAAACTCAATGGCCGAGATTGAAAACATAGTTGGCCACAGCAGGGCTTCACAGATTTCCACATCCACATCAACGTGCTCATCGTCTTCCAAAACGACATCCTCAGAGTCATCGGCGAGCACGATGAAAAAATTAGGCTCCTCCAATATGGGCGAACTTCAGAAGCGGTAAATATTTACTTAGGATGCCTGCGTTTACATTTATCTAACTGTTTGAACCGCTTATTTTCAGATTACGAGCCTCGATGGACAGTCTGGACGAGCCCCGGTCGGAGTACCAGGTGACACACCCGGACTCGGACGGGGAACAGTATGGTAGTATGGTAGTGAAAACCCCCAATGGAGTTGTGCAAAACGGACAAGTGGCCATAAACGGATCGGTGGATATGGTAAAATTCGAGCAGAAAAAGACAACCTCAGAGTCAAAAACAAAGGTAGTGAAGGATGGTGTTAGCAGTGAACAGGCGACAATGAACTCCGCGCAGATGAAACAACTGCATGCAGGGGACGTTCAGTACAAAGAGGAAGCGGCTCTGGCGGCTATGAGCAACACAATGGAAATGGATGGGTTAAAAACCGAGGAGAAAGGCGCCACACTGAAGGTAAGTTAATGAGCTTTGGTGATCCAGAGGTTTTGAAAACACGCATAGTTCGGCTAGTCGACATGGAAGTTAATCTCTCGAAGGGAGTTGAAGGCAATATCAGATACCGGATTGGTCACGAAACGCACTAGAAAATGTTCAAATGTAGCATAATTTCGTATTGATGTACCCCCACATTTTCCCAAACATGAGTCATCCACGCTTTGAAATTTAATTCAACAAGTGCCAAACGAAACATATTATGTACTGTTATCCCAGCATATCCAGAACGATGACTCACCTTCACTGCAACATAGGCGCTATGCTGGAATTTCCTACCAGCGCATGTCGCGACATCAAGGTCGTCTGTAGCGTACAAATTCACCGGTGAATGACTCATCTTTGTTTACCTCCTTTTCTCATTCGTACTTTTGGTGGCAAAGGCACGCATGGACTACTGTCTCACTGATAAAAGGAACAATGGAGTGGGGCTTTGATATAAAACAAAACTGTCACGCCATTCCAAGAGCGGAAACCGGTTACGGTCTCAGCTTCTGTCGAGGTGCATGACTTGTCCTGAGTCCTGATTCTGCGCAAAAGGACGCTATTTATATTACTAGAAGAAAGTCCTTCAGCTGAAATTTTTCAGTTAGAGTTCAACTTCCGTGCAGCTACCAACCAATTTGCAGTGATTCGAATTGGATGGTTATATGAAGGATTGGAAAATCTAAAATTCTAGGAATAAGGTTAGCAAACTGCGAATGCATTTATTGTGCAAACCAAAAATTAGTTTAAATTGAAATTATACTGAAGACAAACAAATCATGAACTAAGAAGACCTGAAGAACCAAGTGACCTGAGGCCGAAGCCATCATGTTCCTCGGACGTTATGTAATCCGAGCTGTAGTGATTTCGAAAACTAGTGATATTACGGTGCTCGGTGTCAAACGAAAGTATTGGTCCCTGCGAAGGTCACAGGCCTTGAAATCAATTTTACGCCCACCATCCATCGGTCATAGTGTTTTGGTATGTACTTAATCGAACTAGTTGTATGTACCGAATTGCGATCGATCTACCAGAACATGTCTGAAGAAAAAGTGTTAGGTACATACAGGAATCCCCCGAATAGCATGGTGGAATGTGCGCTCTACCCACCGTTATTTATCGGCTGTCCTCCTTAAGCTTATTTTGTGTGTGTGATTAGCGCCAACCATATACTAGTCACCTACAGAAAATAAGCTCAATTGTTTAAAGGGCAGTTGAGAAATAGTGGTCGATGTAGTGGTGGAACGAGCACTAGTTTTTAAGATTTTTTTCCCATAACATGGCCATAATGAAGACACACAAAAACGAAATAGCAAACGGCAAAAATGTCGTGACGTTTTTGAACTGTTTTCTGCCAGCGACAGAACATTTTCGCACAAAGAAGCAGACAAGACCAGACATAAATAGATGCCATTAGAATGTTGCTGATTTGTGGCTAATTACTATGGCATAAGCATAGATGATAAAATTATGCGTAAATAAGGTATTTGATAATTGACTGTCACACGCAAGCTTGCAACTAAAATTTAATTACAATAAACTGTTTGAAAAAGAATGGTCTGCGACGTTTTTCCTATTCTCAATTAAATCCTTTCGTTCGAAATATACATAGGGGAAACGCTCCTATAGTTGCGGTACGTTAGAAGCGTTAGGTTCCTATAGTTGTGTACGGAGTCTCCATACACAACTATAGGAACCTAACGCTTCTAACGTACCGCAACTATAGGAGCGTTTACCCTATACACAACCGCCCGTGTGCTGGCTGTTTTGTTTTACGCTGTAGCATGGTTTTGCAAAAAATGTACATATGCCACCACAGGGTGGATGGATAGCACTCCCAACCGCGCTATTCGGGGGATTCCTGTGTCTTTTTTCCACTGTTTGTCGTCGTGCACTGGTGGTACACATGCTAAGAAGAAGTCCACCCGAGCTGAAAACGAAAACAAAGTGAAAACTTATTTCGATATTCTGATATAATCGTTCATGATAACATAATTTGACAACCCTGTGGTCGACTTAGCCGTCTTCAGATCAAAAATGAGATCTAAATGTTACATGAAGATTACCAAAATAATAACAAGTTTTAGCAGCTTTAAAAACAAATCAATTACTAATCAAGAAACTGAAAAAAATATAATTCGTTAGTATTTTAATATTCGAATTATAACGGTGATATCAATCACTTTTTTAAGCATCAAATTCTGTTTTCAAACTTTAAGAAACATCAAAATGATATCAAAATATGAACTCGACTCCAATTTCAGAAAAGCATATAAAAAATGTTATCAATATATTTGAAATCATTTTGATCATATTTTGATATTCAACTCTGCTCGGGCAAAGAACAAGTAAACCTTGCTGAAGCTGACCTATATTTGTTGCTTGCTTCAGAGAGATTTCTTTTTTTTTATTGATTAGTATTTTTCGCACGATTTCTTGCACGTCATTCTGTGTTTTGCGACTCACAACGCGCGAAATACTCTAAACGAAATGGTGAATTTTTCTTGTCAGTAGACGTGTGATTGACTTGCTCTGTAGATCGCAGTTACTGCCTACATTGTTTCATGTTTATTTATTTGTAGTGATGCAGTGGGTTTTTTTTTTCTAAAGGCATGGGTTTTCTTATCGTTGCAAGTCTAAATAGTAGTGATGTTGCAGTTGTTAACTTTCATTGATCATTCGAGCATTGACATTGCAAAAAGGTAACTGCGTTTCATTCGGTGAATGCTCTCTATGGAAAACGCATTTTAAATTATGCTAAACGTATTGAAATTTCATCTGATGTGGACAGCCAGTCCTAAAATCAAAACAGCACACCGTGCAAGCTCCAAATACCTAACTTAAAAAAATACGGTGCATATTTTTCCTAGAAATACTTTCCTTTCCTCAATAACTTTATCTCATGCGTCATTTCGATGAGAAGTGACGTTTTCGTGCTACAATTTATTGATAAATGTCAAAGACGCCATTTGGGGAAACAAACAAAACCCAAGATCCAAAATTGCCAATTTTTTGCAAAAACGAAAATGATTGCAAAGTTTCATGCAAATCGAAGGTCGAGTCAAATTCTGTTCCTATTTGCCTGGAACTGTTCGGATGTTCAGGACCTCCGGAAACTTTTAAAACTGCTGAGAACATCAATAAATATTTATCCTCAGAAAAATGTCACCACCATAATAACAACAGGGGCTGTCCATAAGCTACGTAGATAGAGGTATTTAAGACCGGGCTTTCCCCTGCCTAGACAGTTCTTCATATTTTATTAAGAACAGAAAAAAACATTCACAACTCTGGGAACTCTTTAGGCTCCAGCAACCCTTAAAACACCAAGAAATTCCAGTAGCCTGCGAAATTTCAGAGATTTCGATGTTTTAAGACAACAAAAACAGCATGAACCCACAGAACCCCAAGAGTTACTCAATCTCCAGCGACCCTTAATTCCAGGGAACTCCGGTACTCCGGTATATCCCGAAATTGTCAAAACTCCAGAAATTGATCGACTTCCAGCGACCCTTAGAAAACTTGGGATCTCCAAGAATGTCTGGTACTTTATGACTAAAATAATCCAAAGAGCTTCTCAATATCTAGCAAGCCTTGATCGCCTGGTAATTCCGGTACTCTAGGAACTAGCCGTATTACTATCCTTTTTTAGAAAATCGTGCCTCGGCTGGTGAATTTCGGTAGTGTGTGACGCTCTCGTAGTACCTTGTTGATCAGCTTCTTGAACCAGAAAAGTTGGACTCCGTTAGGATCTGTCCAATTTCTGTGAAATATCATAGCTTCACCGAAATCTGTTGCTCCGACAACGACAAACGGCTTGCATTTCCTCTCGCCTTATCCACCGTTGCCCAGCGCTATGTTGTATTTGGGCCTCCCATATCACAGTTGCTGACTGGGCTGATTTCCGATAGACCATCGCACAGTGGTTCTTCTTAGAACAAAAATTGGCCAAAACCTCAAAATTGTTGCAAATAGGCAAAAAAATGTTTTTTAAGCTGTATGAAGAAAACTTGACTGTCTTTGAGACCATTGTACATTGGTTTTGGTTCTACTAACCAAAGACGTAATGGTCCGAAAGACGTATTTAGGAAGACAAAAATGTTTGCGCCAAACCGTCAGTTTTAGATATATGGTTTTTTAGGGAAAGTTGCTTCATATTTTTTGTTCAATCTTTTTATGTTCGTAAAATTGGTGAATTAAAAATACAAACTTTTTTATTATTTGAGATAGACCAAAGCAGTGTTGTAAACAGTAGTATAACAATCAATTCAAAGCAACTTTGTTGAAGACACAACGTTTTTATCTCTTATGGTTCATGAGTTATAGTTTTTTTTTAAATAAGCAGGTTAAGGTGGCCAGGTCGGTTTTCTTTGAATATCTTTTCATGCCTTAGTTTCTCGCAAAAACATTGTTATGATTACATTTAGAACTTTTGATGACGCATGTTTTTGCTCAAGCAACTAGGTTACTATCTTTTTTATTAGAAAGTTAAAGGCTATTTTCTTCGAAAAAATGGCTCTTTTCAATTGTCAGTATCTCAAAATGGAGCATACTGATTTCCAAATATTTAATTTCATTGGAAACATCGTTTTTTCTTCATTTTTGGGAAAAAACTGCAAGAGCTTTTTCTGTTTAAAGCATTTAATTTAATTAAAAAAGTAATAGTTTTCAGCAAAAACTAGCCATAAATTTTCAAATAAAAGAGAAAACAACTTAGCAAAAATATGCGTCATAAAAAGTTCTTAAAGTTTTTTAAATAATGCATTTATTTTTCCAGGCTCATTTTCTGTAGCTTTGCGGAGCCGATATTCATTGTTTGAATAACAAAATTACTTAAAACTAACGTTAGTAAAGCGAGGGCCGATTACTCGCGGCTATCTCGAGGTTAGGAGTAACAAATTGTAACAAATGGATGGCAGGGTAGGGATTGAGAACACAAGGTTTGGAGTAGTTCTTAAAGTGACTAGTATAAAAAT